GGGGTGGGGGATTAATGCTGGTATTCTCTTTTCAATGCCATTATTTAACTGTTTGTGTGTAGGGAACTTCTCACTATATAGGACATAGGCCAAGCTGATGAACCTTTTCATTTTATTGTCATAGTTCTGTGTTATTCCTCCTCTTCTCTCTTTCTTCCCAAGCTTCTTCAGTTCTGGCCTCTGCTCCTACTGCTGCCACTGTGTCAGGTAGTCAGACTCTCTATAAGTCTCTAGGTGATTCTGGATTCCGAATACCAGTCCCTGCTAGTGTTTCTGCACAACAGCCACAAGGTGGGTGGTACATGGGGTCCACACATTGCTCAAGGAGGGGAGGGGAGGAGGTCTTTAAAAAAAACATCACAAATTTATGATTTGGAGTGTATGGTGAAAGTTCTTCAAAGCTCTTTGTGTTTACCTTTATTCTACTTGGTTAATTTAAAAAAAGTGTTACTTCAAAGGAAATACTGATTTTATAAGTGGTTATGATGGAAGAATTTAAGCGATTTTTAAAAAATTGAAAGAAAGATTCCTCCCTGGGCAAAGAAGTGGTCACATGTACAATAGAATAGTCACCCATTACTCTAGCATGACTTGGTTTGTGGGGATATTATTGTTATTATTATATTTTTGTTTGTTTGTTGAACTTTCTGGCCCTGGGGTATTTGAAATACTGGGAGCTGACTTTGAAAGATATATGTTACTTCAGTATCCTTGTTTGTGTATGTTCTTAATGCATGCAGGTCACAGTTATTGAATACTTATTTGAAAAAGTACATATATCTCAATACATTTTACTCTGCATTTGCTACTGCTGTGTGCTGTGGGCAGCTGTATGCAAGCCTTGTAGGACATAGATGTTGACGAGATAGTAGCTTCTAATCAGTAGCTTAATTTTATCTGCAGGAAAATATTTTACTTTGCTACTTGTAACTGTTTCAGATATAGTATGAAAAAAATGAGATAAAGTTATGTTGCATATAAACATCTTTTGGACACAAATTTCATACTATTTACTTCGATCCACCACAGTTTGATAACTTTTACAGCTAAAGTGACCAAACTTTTCATGCAGCAACACAAATGTGAGTTACATTTGTCATAAGACATTCAGTGACCTCAAAGCCACCAAAAGTATCATTTTCAAGAGAATCCTACATATACATATCTGAAACTGTTACCTTTGTTTTCTGTTTGTCTTACTATAAATGTGTGTCTGTGAGTATTTTTAACTAAGTGTTAACCTTGCAGAAGCTTCTGTTTCACAATCTTCTGCTCCACAACCAACTACTCGACCCACAGGGCCTGTCACTTCACAGCCACCGCTTATGTCACAGATCAGATCACCCATCTCACAGACACGTAAGTGGTTCATTCATTTTTTCTATTGCCAAGGACATTCATCCAGCCTGTGGTGGGTTTTAGGTTGTCATGCTGTTCCTTTGTGTCTAAATACTTTTTCAGATACTTAACTTCTATCTGCCACTGCTGAGCTCACACTTGCATGTACTTTGGTATTGGTGAGAAATAGTTTAAGACAAAGGGAATGAAATTGATTAAATTCTATTAATTATTTGAAATTTTGTTGATTTGGCTGTTTTTATTTGTAGTTTATTTTGGTAAAAAAAATCAAGCGTGAGCTCAGAAATGTTTATGTATGCTATATTAGTTGGTTACTAATTTACAATAGTATTTCATTCTGCTTTCTGTAGTTATTAGTACTTTTGCTAGAAAATATCCATGTGTACTGCACTGTTTATCATGGCAGTAGGAAAGAAAGGTCATCCATTAATTTATTACTTTTTCTAGAAACGTCTTCTGCTCCGGGCCCACCTCATATATCATCAGGACCAGGAACAATGCTACAGCAACACCCCACATCTATTGCACCGCCAGCTTCTCAACCTACATCTGCCGCCAGTGGAATGGGGCTTCAAAGGCATCCCCCACCAAATGTACTTGCTTCAACACAGGCACAGCAGGTAGGCCTGAAACTGACAGGGCACAGCACTTGACATGTCTCAAAAGCATTGAATTAGCATGTTGAAAATTGTTTTATATTGTTGCATCATTCTTGTTTTTGCTTTAAGAATATTATTTGTTAGGTGCATAAGTTAAAGGTATTTACAGCTCTGAAGAATTGGAGAGTGGGCCTTTGTTGAATGTTACCACCAGGTTTTATCAGTGTTGAACAGGTCTAAGGTTTTTAAAAGGGACCTCAGAATTGTTTTTTATGTCCATTCTTTCAAATTATTGAGGGTACTTTTCTATGTTTCAGTTGACCACAACTTTGAAGGGTCAAAATGCTAAGGAAGTGACAAAGATGATATTGGAACAAACTAAGCCTGGAAATAGTGAGTTTTGGCATTTTAAGTGATATTTGGATATTATGAAAAAAATTAATTTAGTCAAACATTTCATACTGTCAATGATTTTCTTTAATGCTCTCTAAAATTGTTGTATCAGAATATTTGCTACATGATATCAGTATAAGCAGCTAGAAAATAAAACTTATCTGTTCTAAAGATCTGAAAAGGTGTGATTGCACCAAAGTTTCTACTGCATTTAGCTGTTTGTTATTTTCATAATTTCCATCATTTTTATTCCAATACAATTTTTCAATATCCTAAATCCAATATAGCCAGTGCTACACAAAATTCTTACTTATTTTGTAGTACGCCCTTCATCCCAGTTTACACAGCAACTGCAGCAGCAGCAGCAACAACAACAAGGCATGCAGCCTGGGCCAGGTCCTCCCCTCTCTCAGCAGCCAGGCCTACACATGCCCCCTGTCTCCCAACCCTTACCCATGGCATCTTACCAGAGCCAGCTGCCCACCCAGTCCCAGCCCACCACATCTCTAACCAGTGCCACGGGAATGGGGACAGTGATGAGCTCACAGGCCTCCCATCAGAATTTTCAAGGTGGTGGGATGAAGGCACCACCCCAGCAAGGAGGCATGATGGTTGGTGGTGGACAGTCTGGCATGATGACATCACAGCCAAATATGATGACACCACAGCAGCAGCAGCATATGATGACATCACAATCTAATTTGATGTCATCTCAAGCTAGCAACATGATGATGACTTCATCACAGTCCAACATAATGCCCTCTTCTCAACCAAATTTAATGAGTTCACAGATGAACATGGGCAACTCACAAATATCTCAACCAGGTATGATGTCAACCCAAGGAGGTATGATGACATCACAGCAACAGCAACAACAACCACAACAGCCAGGAGGTCCACAAAACGTGATGGTCTCACAACAGAACATGATGGCACAATCTCAAAACAACATGATGCCAGCGCAGAACAATATGGGGCCATCTCAGAGTGACATGATGACACAAGGGGGGATGTATCAGAATCCTAACATGCAGAGTGGTCTAAGAAACCCAGGTCCACCCCAGTCTCGGATGCCCATGCAGAGTAATGTCCAGCCTGGTGTACCTATGGGGCAAATGGCAAATCAGCCCCTGGATATGTTAATGGCGGGCCCAGGGGGAGGCCTTCTTGATAACCCTGCTTCAAGAGCTGGAGCCAAAGATCTGTGGACTGGTGCTTTGGAGTGGCAGGAGAAGACTAAAACTGGAAATACTACAGATCCTGGTGCTAAGATTATAAGATCTCTACCTTGTAAAGTTTATATCACTCAAGGGGAGCAAGAAGTGTGAGTTTAATTTTGATTTTTTTCAGTAACTGATCATTCTGTTCCTTTTAGGTTTAAGCAAATGTGATATAGATTAGGTGTTCCTAAAATATATTTGAAAGTTTATGATTTCGGTACAGATTTAATGATTTCAATAGGTGTTTTGTAAAAGTACAGATTGCATTTGATCTTAGTCTGAAATGAATTGTTCAAGTTAAGCATCTGAAAGATGAAAATTTTGCATCAATTTAGATTTTAAGATGTAATATTTAATGATATCCAACCATCTTCTTGCTGTAGATATTTATATATTTATGATTTATTTTTCCAGCAATGCTTCAATATGGCCCAACAAGCTCCAAATGCAGCTGATACCCCAAGCTATTCTTCAGTCCCTCCAGTCTTTGTTCAGAAATTCCAGAACAGTTTCATTCCAGTTTGCAAACACAGACAAAGAGGCAATCAAAAGCTTGTACAAAATACTTTCTCAAGGCTTTGTGAGTGGACAACATGCTATTTTGATATTATGCTTATTATTTATTTATTAGGTGTAAAGTATATTCAGTTTGTATCTTTAGAAATGAACAAATATGATCCTATTAATTTCATTAGTACTTGCTCTATGTCTACAAAGATAGATGTACATGATGGACAGCTGCGCTAAATTGTATAGATTCATTTATGTATCTTTGCTAATAAGTTGGCTTGGTTATGCTTTTTTACTACTATTACCAATGATGATAAAGTATCAAAACCTATATTAAGTTTCAAGTATTGGAATTAATAATTGCATCAAAAGAAGTTTTGGACTTCACAATATAACCATAATGTCCATAATGTCTTTCAGGCTGGCTATATTCACTTCCCCACTATGTCTCAAGTGGATGTTCGTGTGGTGCTCCTATTGTACAGTACAAAGATGAAGAAGTTTGTGGGACTGATTCCCAATGACCAGAACAGTTTCATCAATGGCATCAAGATTGCTGTCACCAAACACAAGACAATGCAGCAAATGAAGATGCAGCAGCAGTTACAGCAAAGAGGGGTAGGGACTACTTTTATTGTTTGTTTGTCAAGTGTTTTAGAGAAAAACTTGTAACAGAGGTGAGAAAAGTATATAATGCGTATGTGTTTATAAAATGCTGTAACAGTGAGAGTTACTATTTTAGAATTACCATGTCATGTGAATTTTTTGTTTAATGGTATAAGTTGCTAAGGGTTAGGCATGGTCATGCTGTATAAGAAAAGATTGAAGTCATTACCACAACAATGTTTTGCTGTCTTATATATTTTAGATGATGAATCAAATGGCTGGTGGTGTGCAGCAGCCTCCACAATCCCAACCTGGAATGCAAACACCACAACAGGTAAGTAGAAGCTACCCTCCAAGTTTTTAACTCCTAGGGTCTTTCTATGAAATTAAGCAACAATAATATATAGATAACTGGTTAAGCTTGTAATGGTTTGCTTTAGTTTGTTGTATAATGCCCTTTTAGTGATTTAATTGTTATAGTATCAGTCAATACAATGAGTGTAGCTTGATAGGAAATACAACCCTCTTGCACAGATTACACTACACATGAAAAGGATGATACACAAACATATAAAACAATCTATTTCAAGTTAGTAACAAGCTCTTCACATGGTTTCATTATGCTTTTTGAAAAAGTTTACTAGAATGGCTGGGCTGTGCCCTTTTGTTGATTCAGATTCTACATGTATGTGATAGTACTTAAAGAGTATACCTAAATTTTAGTAATAGCAGGGGGGTAGATTTTCTTTATGGAACTAGCTGCATGAAATAAGTAGTATTATTGTAAGTTTTTATGAAAATTGTTTAAATGGTGTTTTTTAAAACTGTAGCAGTTATTTTTATTTATAGTTTAGAATTTTTAAATTATTATTTATTAGTTGTGGCTGTGGCTATGTCATTTGGTTTAAAAGATCCAGAGTTAAACAAAAAGATTGACAAAGAAATGTCAAAGAGACAAGATTAGACTTCCAGTGTTGGTGTCAGTTATAACCTCTGAATCAGTTGATATGCTTACAGATGACAAAGTCTATTCCACATTCTTATGTAGATTACATAATTTTATTTCTTTTATTTTGATGTAGCCCTTGTTGGGGCAAAATAGCCAATTCAGTCAAGCTGCCACACTGACAACACAACAACAACAACAGCTGCAACCTCAGCAGCAATCACAACAGGTTGCTCAACAACCACAATCACAACAGTCTCAGGTACAAACTGTAGGTGGATGGCTGTGTATACCCTTGGTATTGTAAGGCTTCATCCTGACATTAATTGCATGCCTGCTGCTTGCCACCAATGCAAATAGAGACATCTTTCAATGCAGTCTTCCCTTAGTATTGTTCTGCACAAACCCATGTTTTTTCGTAATTGATTCTATATTTTCATATTCTGATTTTTGAATTTTTGCATTTAAGAAACTAATTTATTACGCCATATTCTCTATGAGTTGAATAAAGGGGCTTTTAGTTATTCATACAATACATATTTTATTAGCTTTCCTGTGCCAATGAATTTCGTGATTTTTATCCTGCATGCTTAATTTGATTGAAGGCCTCATCACAGTAGAAACCATTGTTTACATTTCCCAGTAGTCATAATCTTGATGAAGAATTTTAATCAGCTTTCATGTCTTAATTTATATAGGCAAAAGATGAGTGACCCTGGCAGAATTTTTGTTTATAAATCCTATGTATACGAATGTGTTTTGACAAAATGATTTTTAAATCCATTTTATTGCATGATTTAGGTATTGTATTAGGTATTAAGCATTGTCATCTTTTATCACTAGTCATAGCTGTGGGTGGTTTGACTTGTGGGTCAAAGGTACAGGTCAAAGGTGCAGGTCAAGTTTGAAATTGGTTTTGATCAGATAAGTCTAAACATATGTTCTTTTTTTTTTCATGATCCTCTCCCCCCCCCCCCCCCAATAACTTTGTACTTATTTTGATAATTTTGCCATTGTTTATCAGGTGTAACTATTACAAAACCCTTGTGCCAAAGCTTCCAGATGGATTTATCTGTTCCGGCAACTTTAGACTGGGTTTAGCTGTAGGTGCAGCTAGTCAATCTACTGTTTTTTCTTAATATTAAACCTTATTTAGGGTTGTCTGTACATTTGTCATTTTTAGCTGGCTTGTGTAAAATCATTTGAAGAAATTGTTTCCATTTGTTTCATTTAATTTTAAATTCTAATTATGTGCATTTATCAAAGTGCTCTTTGCCTAAAAAGCATGGCCTGTGTTAATCCATGCTTAGATGATATAATCATTCCCTGTTTTATGATAATTTTTATATCTCTTTCAATAATATGTCCTTTTCTTTAACCTCAAAACATATTGATGCCAAAGCTATTTAATATGCTGCAATTTTTAGCTGCTTGCTGATTTTCACAGATTATTATTATAATTACTTTTTTTACTTTTTGAGAAAATGTGTTTTACAATTATCTCACATCACCAAGAACAAAAGAGGCAAGATTTTTTAATGTGCTTGAAGGAGTGCATTATAGGAGGAATAAGATTTGAAAGGGAATAGCTGAAAGTCTATTGAACATCCAGCAAGTACTGCCTTAATGTAATTTTATATTTAGAATTATTAAATGAACTTATGAACTTCAAAATAAAGTTTTGTTTGTCTGTATGATTTCTTGTTATGGTGTGTTATAGAAATAACATGTCATTACTAGAAGGCAGACAGACATGTTTAAATAAACATATCATTCAATATTCCAGATGATGGGGCAAGCAGATCAGTTTAATCCTTCTGGCCCCATGCCAGGCCCTGGACCACAGCAACCACAACAAAGGGTAAATATACAATTTTTTTTTTACAAATGGTTAAACTACATGTATATGTGTAGAGGACAGACTGAATTCATTTATCCACAAGGTAGATATTCTTAGAGAGAAACAAAGGAGTGCCAGGTAATTGTGTGAGAAGATGGTAGGTTTTTGTTTGCTGGTATTCTTATCAAAATGGTTGTGAGAAACAGCAGCTTTCCTGAAAACTTACCCTGTCTAACTTAGTGTGATATTGCATTATTTCAAATGGTTGATGTAAGATGTTTTCCAGACATTCTATATATTAAGATTGAATTTTATTTTTTATTATTATCTGTGTATTAATTTGTGTCTGTTACTTAGGCTTCATTCACATGCAATGTCTATTTTCTAAATTCTATTTTCTATTCGCGGTATGTCTTATGATCACGGTCTGTGCCCTGAATATCCCACCGCGTAATTACTGGCAGCGCGAGCCACTTACTATAAGTAACTGTAAGTAACTGGCTCGCGCTGCCAGTAATTACGCGGTGGGATATTCAGGGCACAGACCGTGATCATAAGATAGCGTGAATAGAAAATAGATTTTTAGAAAATAGACATTCCATGTGAACAAAGCCTTACTCTGTGATCAATGATGATACCAATTTGCAAATATGATAATTATTCAAAAATATGTTTTAAGATGTTGGGTAAAACTCTGGTGATAGATCAGTAATTAATCAGAAGATTCAGTTACATTGTTTTATATCAGCTGTATTTTTCTGTCACTGTGTATTGAAGAATGCCCTGTAACTTCTACCTTTTGTTACACAAGAAATTTATGCACTAGTATTTGGTCTGGGATAAAAGAGTGTAAGCACAAGATGTGGATGTGGCAGAATGAAAACTGAGTTGATTTTATGAAATGTGCATATTAACTGTAGCCTGAGATATGCAAGTCTTGCTATGCATGGTGGATGAGATGAGATTAGATGTTTTCATAACATTTCTTGTAACGCAATTGATGACAAACTGTGGTTGCATCTTTTAAGTGTTGCTGGCATAAATTAGCCAAAAAGCTGTGAAATCACAGTCAGATCAATGGAGAGTGAAAAAATTAGTTTCCCTTTTCTTTTTCCAACTGAAATTTAAAATTATGAATATTAGAAAATATTTTTAACCTCTTGTGATAAAGATGCTAACCTGTGTCCAGACCTAGATTGTCCCCAGGTTGATCTAACTTCTTACTTCTCTTAGATACCAGCTACCATGATGGGTGGGCCACCTCTGCCTGGACCCCCTGCAGTTGGACCCCCGTCAGTGCCCAGTGGCATGATGGGTCCCCAAGTATGAAGACTTTCTTAGAATCTATTTTATATCTTTAATTTGTGATGCATGGTTCAGCTAGAATGATGCTGGTGTGTAGCAAAGGACAGTATCAGCCTGGATTTTACAGTGTTATCATGATGATTGTTTCTACTACAGAATGCTTCTTGCTTTTTCACATTTTGTAGTGGTAAACTCCAAATTCCCAGATGGTGTTTGACTAGAAGGGTGTAAATGAAAAATGTATGTACTTGACGTGGGTGATTTATATTTTGAAGCACTTGTCCAAATCCAGTTGCTACTGTACTTCATGTCAACAGGGCAGTCTATAGAAGTCTACAGACCATTAGTGGACTACACTGTCTGTTTAGGCTGGTGGGTTATTTGTTAATGCTATCTTAAGGGTGTGATATTTGATTTTTGTCACCCTCTGGGAACATTGCATGCGAGTTTACCCAGGCAATAACATCAGTTTATATGCTTTAGTGCAGGGTTGCCAACTTTACAGAATGTATAGCCCTGTCATTTGTTATAAACAGTGGTCACATCTGAAAACAATAGAAATGGGTTTAACAAATTACTAAGACTATTGATAAATGTGTAGAGATGGCAAACCTAGTAGTAGTTGTACCTAACCATAATATTTATTTAAACCAACAGGTTCACAGTAGACCAAGCTCTGTAGATGTCCTAGAAGATTACCTATACTTTTTTATACACCTCATTCTTTGAAAACCTTTAAATGTTATTTTACTGAAAAGAACATATTTTTCACTTTCATTAAAAACCATTTACTATTAACTATGGTTTTTAAGTAATCAACATCAAAAGAATTACAGAAATTACTTTTCAAAACTCTAGTACTGCTGTATTTGTTGCACTTGTACAGGTATCCAAGGAATGAGAATGCTTTTATGTATGTGAAGCTTAACAGTATACTTTATCAAGATTTTATTTGATTTAGCTCGTTTTACCCCTACCTTGACAAAAAGAAACTTGTTTTTATAGTTTTTATTATTACATTTTAATTTAAAGAACATTGTAAGGGCTCATTAACCTAAATGAAATATTCATAATGCTACTCAATTTGTGAAAACTAAGATTTTACCAGATACTTAAGATAATAATTATGTATGAATGTTACATATTATGTGTTAGTGTGTATGCTTGCATGCAAAAAAGAACATGGAAAATGCAACCAGTTCTCTATAAATGGGCAACTTTCTGTTTGACAACTTTCTGTTTCCAGGTACTGTGCATGCCCATCTTTTAGAACTAGAAGTTTGTTTAGTCTTGCCCTATGTTGCAATCATTGAGGCAGTAGTTATCACCTTGGGGTTTATTGAAGCAAACCTGACGTAGAATATGCATGTATGTTTGGTGCATGGTGCCTGGTACTTATGTGCGATATCTGCAAATGTACCTGATAAGTAAAGATTGCAATATGATAAATATGTACCTATTTTGGTGATTTGTCTGTAATTGTCCAGTTCGAATTACTAGGTTATATAATAACTTTTGTGAAAACAGGAATGTAGACATAACTTTTGTTAAGCCAGAGAAGCCTAAGTACCATTTATTGCATAGTTCTTAATAGTATCCATCTTAATGCTGGCATAAAAGTTAGTTGTCTTCCAAAAATAGATTTTCATTATGGGTATAAACAATCATCTCACCAGTGTTGTCCAAAATTGTTTGGTTTTCAATTCTTTAAATGCTTTAATTTTCATGGAATTATTTGGAAGTTGTAATCAAAATGTTCAAAAAAGTGCTTCCATACAAAATGTTTTAATGGTGATTTATTTTAAATATGGTTTAAAGCTTGTGAGCTTGCTAGCTTTTGCTGTGATTGGTATACCAAATGGCATGCTAAGAAAGCTTGTGGTCATTTTTGATTTTTTTATCAGAGAAAAAAGCACAAAAGATCAAAATTAACTGATTTTACTGAACACTAAGACTGAAAGATTGTAGTTGCCCTTTAACCAGCCTTGATTTGTGAGAGGACTTTATAAATTGACAGTAATAATTACTTACTTTTTGAATTTCAAATACTGGTCAATGTACTTTTCATGTAGACTTATGACTTCTATTTATTTGTCTTTCGCGCTTACTTCAAGGGAAAGAAATCCCACAAAACTTGGCTTTCTAATCCTATTTATGTTGTTACTGTTGCCATCTGACAAATATGTTCATTTTATAAAGGGTTGACTTTTTTATGTACAGACACTTTAAGTGTCTGTATGTATTATGATAACTTGTCTGTCCATATCTCTGTCACTGTCTGACACATTTAATTGATTCATAGATTTACCACCAAACTTAATTTTTTGTTTTAATTTATATCTGCCATGAGATTTTGTAACTAAAGGTAAAATTCGAATCAGATTTTAAAAACGCAATTTAACAACAAAAATAAGGCCCATCTTCATGCTTATTTCAGTGCTATTGTGGTAAGATCACACCCATTACACAATATATTTTCTTACACAATCAATGCTATTGTGATGAAGTCTGACAATATTCTTCAGCATAATTATTATTGTAACAAAATCTCAAGACGTCTAACATATAAAATTTTGCAATGTTTAGGCTAATTTCATTGACCTGAGGATTGGCTTGGAATCAACTTTGAAACTTTTGTATATTGGAATATTGATGTAATGTATGTTTCTCTATGTTAAAATTCATAAAGTGTTTCTGTTTTTTATGAAAAATTCATAGTTACCATGACTTTTTTCCTGATTTTTTTTTTTTTTTTGCTTGTCTGTATACTTGCCAGCCCAGCTGTCTAATTTTGAAATCATTATAGCACTTCAAAAGTTATGCATGTTAGATATTACAAGCTTTGCACGTATGAAGCTCCACTATTTCCACAAATTTTGATAAATTGAAACAGGGTGGTCTCTCAATAGTCCAATATTATTGATCCTCACTCTTATCCAATGTGTCCTCTTTATAGCAAGTGTCCAATGTGAATCAGATGGGAATGGCAGGCGGAGGGCTTACTATATCAGATCAAGAGCGCCAGGCCAATCTGGTAAGCATGCAGGTGGCAGGGTAGAGAGTGGCCAAGTATACATGTGGGGCGCTTGCTAGCATGTTAAAAATTTTGCCAGTGCCTAAATTATTTTCGATAAGTCACAGAAAATTATAAAAATCTGTTTGACAGTTTAATGAAAAAAGATATTTTGTTGTATGAAGGATTTTTTAATGGAAATTTTGCAGTAGCTCAGGTAAATTGCTATATATACAGCGAGGTGGGGGGAGGGGTGCAGGTCAGGGGTTAAGGAGGAAAATAATTTTATTTGTAGTTTTGAGGCATTGAATTAAACAGAGAATCAGAGTGCACTTTTTAGTTTATACATTTAAGGTATATAGGATTTGGATTTTTGATCCTCAGTATTGTATTGCTGGCTCTCTATTTAAGGGTCATTTTCTTTAAGGTGATATAGGTAAGCTTATGGGATTTTTAAAACATTCTTCAAATGTTTTTTTACTGTAATTATTGTGGAGAGAGAGTTTGCAGGTTTTGAAACAAGGATTGAAATCAATGTCAACAGTATATGAAAATATTATACACAATATACATACATATACCATACACATAAAATATACACCAAATCTTTTTCTATGAATATCATCTTGTGGTCTATTTCCAGTCAACAATTCCAATGCTCCAGAGGGCGCTAGCTGCAGCACAGGCCAAGGAGAAGCAGTTCCAAACCCAAAGGCAGATTGATGAGGCCAGAGCCCAGCACACATTGGGTAGGATAGGTTGTTAAGTTAACATAACATTAGAATAGATTGAAGAAGATGAGTTGAAAATAGTAGGAAAGATTTCTGGATTAACCAAGATAAGTTCAGATGCATCTGCAACATAGCGCTTTATCCTTTGAAGTTGATTTTAAATGAGTGCATTTATTTGTGTCAAAACAATGCAAATTGTATAATTGATGAGCATAATGTAATTTAAATGTTGTGTTAGAAATATTTGAAATGGATAAATTGTAAAAATAAACTTAAACCTTATTCAATATAAAGAAATTTCTGTAGCATTAATATTTCAGGTGCATAATTTTAGTCATGTTGGGTCATTTTCCTATTCAAGAGTTGATGTAGGGAATAGCAGCAGAGGAATTGTAAAAAACTGTAGAAAATGTTCAGCGTTATCTGTGTAACTGGTTAATACAGTGATTTTTAACTCTTAAATACAATTTATTATATTTTAAGCTTAAGGGTTTGTTTTACCAAAGCACCTAAATAAAGTTGTACAATACATTTTCAGTTCAACAAAGACAGCAACAATTGCAGCAGGTTCAACAACAGCAACAGAGATTACAGTTGCAGCAACAACAGCAGCAGCAGCAACAACAACAGAATCCTAGTAACCCACAGCTTAAGCAGATTCTCATTAATCAACAGCAGGTAACACAGATTTATTGGAGAAATGGGGAGTTGTACACATAATATGTACCAGCAATATTAGCCACTTCCTGAGTCATTTGGTGGTAATGCTTTTGTCAAGTTACTTCTGTGCTTGATATTATAAGAATTTAATAAACTTATCTTATAATGATGCCCCTTTTATTAATTCATGTCAGACAGTGAACAGTCGGAACACCTTTATAGATGCTCAATTTCCTTTTAGCAACAAGCACAACAACAGCGATTACATCAGCAGCAGTTGTTAATGCAGCAGCAGCAGCAGCAACAACAGCAGCAGCTGCCCAGAGGTCCTGGGCCCCAGGGCATGGGACAAGGCATGGGACAACCTGGCATGCAACAATCAGGCATGGGGCAGATGGGACAACTGGGACAGAGTCAGCCATTTGGGGATGGATTTGATTTAGAATCCCTTCTGTAGTGGTCTAAGTAAACTGAGATGATGAACATTTGTGTTACATACTAGCTAGGCTAATGCTATTTTAAGCCATCATGTGGAAGTTTTTTTGCTGAAGGAAATGTTTTTCATTTATTTTTGTTTATCCATCATTGGTTTATGAAGTTTATAAGTCATCAAGCTTGGTTGAAACATTGTCTACCATCTTGTTATATAATGTTGGACAAAAAAGAGCATATTGTATAGAGGACTGATTCAGATATTTGGGTTTAAAGATAATGTGGTAGTAGACCAGTGAAATGAAATACTGCACTCATGTTGCAGAAAGTAGCTTTTGCTTCATATCAATTTTTGACTACTGCACTATCCTGGATTACAGCTGGCCAAATGATCTGGCCTAGAAGTTAACACTTTCAGTCAAAAATTCTTTTGGAAAATTGACCCACAATGAATAGCTTGCTATGTATGGCATTTTCTGGGAACAGTTTAGACCGAAAGTTCTTTCAGTGGCGAGATGGTATGTGTAAGGTCTTTCATTTGTGGACAGGTTTCAGATTGTCTTTTTATATTTGAAGAATATTTGATGGAATGAAAGATATGTAAAAAGTGCATTTTAGCTGAATATTACAGGATATCCTGGCTACTGTTTCATTGTTTATTGTACAAGGTGCAATACATAAAAATGTTGACCATATCATTACCTTCTTGCCTGTATTATTGTTAGAGCACAGTATTATGTCATTTTTTTAGTGAAACACACGCCATTGTTAATTTGAAGGACTTGTTGACCTTCAATGATCTACCAAACTTCTCAGCAACTACAGATCTCAGAACATAGGCACTAATAATTTATTTTTCAAACAAGGCAAGTGTCAGGCATTTTGGAATGTCTTTTTTCACCCAAGTAGGAACTATTACCAGCATGATGGGAGGATTCTTTATCAAAAATACACTGCAGTTGTAAATAATTTTTTGATTGCCAACAATTATTTTGTAAGTAACAGAAATATTCTTAAATACTTAATTAGCCTAGCTAATTTCATTATAAGTATGAAATTTAATGCTTACATTTGTAAAGTTAATTTCATGAAACAGTCTGAATAAAAAAAAAATTGCAACAGTTGTGCATTCTACATTTTTCTGTGTACAAGTAATTTTCATACAGAAACTCAGTGCAACAAGTTTTAAAAATTAAAGCTTCTATTGAGTGGTAGCAAGAAAATTGAAAAGGCTGGGTACCCTTTAGTTCTATTCTATACACTAAAAGTAAAGAGTAAAGTTAAGTATCAGTGTGGTTTACATTAGATGCCTGGTCAGTTTTGGCCCTGACAAAAACTTGCTACATAGAAATGCTACATAGAAATATAACTTCAAAGATTCCAAAATAATATATTTAGAGATACGTTTGGCTCACTGAAAAAAGTGAGTCATTACCATATTATGCATTTCAGCACCAACAAATTATCATTGCAGAATATCACCTGTTGTGTCTCATTCTAATGATATACCTAAAGTGAGGTCATATGAAAGATGGCCATGTTAAATGCAATGGTTCATACTTGTTAGAACCATGCAAGCCTTAAATTCAATACTGCATTTTTAAGTTTTCTTCTAATTGAAAAATGAAATTAATAGTGTCCCTCAATGTCTTGTAAGGTCTACAGTTCATAATTAGGGTGAAAAAAATATATGGATGATTTTGTAACAGGGACTTTATTATGCTTACTGTCCTACCTTAGGAATGATGGTGAACAACAAAAAATCTAAGAATCATTTATCTTCAGAAAACAATACCAAATACACACTACTGCTATGCAGCAAGAAAACCATGCATATCTGTAATTTTCTAAGTACTGATCGTACTTTTTTGTGACATCAATCAAACTGAAACGGCCACTTGTCCTTCATGAAAATATGCCTTGGTTGCTACAAATAGCAACAGAACGTGTAGTTTCCTTTTTTCAATAACTAGTCATAAAGCTATACAATTACAACTTTCAGATGTCACAAGTGGCTAAACATATTGTGATTTGTAACATGAATTAGTGAGGCCAGTTTGGTAACTACATCACGTACCTGGCAACTCTAGCGGATGTTAAAGTTGAATGAAAAAATGCTGCACATTAAAACCATTAAGCTAGCAGACAACTGGTGAAGGCCAGAGCTGACAAGGTCTTCCCTTCATGTAACTGTTAGAAAATAAGACACAAATAAGCTTATCAGGGTCCCGTACCTCAAAAGCATTGCGTATTGTGAATAGCAATATCACACAATGTATTACATGGGGCGAGTTATGGAATAGAGACGCTTGCGCTCAGTCGCAATGCGTGATGCTTTCGAGTTGCGGAACCCAGATATTCAGAACATCTTACCACTAAATCATAAAGTATTTCATGGCCTGAACTTTACCACCCATACAAATATATTTCAGGAAAAGCTTGGATTTTAAATGGGTTAAAATTATATTTTAACCTGCTACTATAGTAGCATTATCTAAGATGGAGACAGAAACCCACTAGTACTCAATATTTATACTGCTATAACAGTGTCCCTATCCAATTCTTTATGTTTTTTGCATCCTCTCTAGATATGCATTGTACCCAGCTTCTTGGAATGCCTTAGCAGCTACAACTGAATCTTCAGCTTCAGTGATGCCACGGCCCACTATGATGATGTCACACTCCTTGTCGCAAATCACTTCCCTGGGGGTCAAATATTGCTGGCCCAGGGAGTCCTTACCACGAGTTAATTTTACTCCTGAAAGGAATAAAAACTAGGTAGTACTAAATAATTAATTTTCAATGTGTAAACTTATAAAAACAGTGCTAGATATCCACTGTAGAGTATGAATGCAGTTCAATAAGGTATTTTCTCATGGTACTTTAAGCAGATACATATTTTAGACCAGTGTGCTTATCTTTTGAACACACACCCACGATCACATAAAATTACCAAATTATTTCACCTTAGCATATGAAATTATGTTTCTTTTAGTCAAAACATTTAATCTCTGGTACAATATTCACTTTATTTTGTTTATCTGGGAACAAATGTGTTACCTGGAGTTATATGAACCCAGTTGGGATCATTTGAGAGCTTGGACTGTGTGATAAATCCAATAACAAAATCATCATGTTCCTCTGCCATCTTCAAAGTGGCTGAAATAAAATTACACATTAGTTACCTGATAAATGTTAAGTTTCAGATCAAAAATATAATATGCATATCTTTGTAGAGTACAGGAGATATATCAAATCTTTTAAGTATTTCAATCACAAAAAATTAAATGTTCAGTTTACAATAAATGTTAATCCATTTAGACCACAGACATTGTTTTGCATGGCAGAAAGAACACTTAAACAAACAAAACCTGACATAACCCAATAATTAACATGCCAAGGTTTGAAGTATATACTATCTATGCAGCACATTAAAACAGCATAAAAAGTTTCAAATAAGATCTTTTAGCAACTGAGATCACCAACTGGAATGCTGTACCGGTGGCTTTCAAAAATTTCAAACCCACCTTTAGCATAGTCCCCTGTGGCAAGATTTCCCTTGGAGCTCATCTCAGCAATTAATAAACAAGCCCTGTCCTTCACAAGACCCACCTTATACAAAAATAATAATAATAAAAATTATTGAATGTTTGCACATTATGATTTCAAAAGTTTTACGTAATATGGCATTGCAAATCAATGACAATTTGAGCTGATTTTAAATTCTGTTTCATAACTGTTCATATTACCCGCAAGACACCAACACCCTGTAATTAAAAAGAAATTGGTCTGTTTTAAGTTGGACACAAAAATATAAGACCAATACACATACACAAGCAGTTACCTCCTTTAAACCCTGTACAATCCCAGGCCCTGGCAGAGCATGTGCATTGATGATGTGAGACCAGTCTGATATTCTGTACACCCCAGAGCTGTACTGGTGCTTCACTGTGTTACCAATGTCTGCAAATTTCCTATGTATAGTTTCAAAACAATGAAGAATAAAGTTGGGAAAAATAATTTATTTTAATATCTATTGTTTAAGATTTAACCAAAAATGATTAAATTTTCATTTACAAATAAAAACTACGAAAATGATGGATGTGAAAGAGATATATTATGCATATGCAGTATCTAGTTATGCATTATATGAAAAAATACTGGATTTTTGCTTAATTCAGAATAAAAATTAACCTGTCCTCAAATATTAGAAACCCATGTTTCTCAGCCAAGTGTGATAAATCATGGACTAAGTCTGGTTTGAAGTCAGATATAATATCAATGTGGGTCTTCAGTATACAGATATGGGGCCCCACAGCATCTGCCAGCTGTAAAATCAAAGAAGTGTCTAAACTGATAAGTGAACAAATAGATATATGAATTAATAACTAGAACACTCAGTGAACACAGACCTCCACCAAGACGAATAAAATAACTAATAATTCACCATTAATTAATTAATGGATCATCACCAAAATATAACTACTTTTAACACAGACCATTTCTCGACTATCTTGGAAATTTTATTAAAATCCATCCTTAACTTTTTGAGTTACGCTGGTGATGAACGGGCAGACAAACACAGGTGGGAAACATAACCTCCTTGGCGGAGGTAATTATATAAACAGACAAGCTTATTTATTATCTGGTTTTTGACATACCTTTTAAATGCTCATATTAGGCATTTGAATTTGATATAAATCAGTCAAAACTTCTGGATTTGGAAACAGCTTATACCTAATACATGTCATGGATTACTGTCCTTTTTTGTATTTTTTTATCAAGCTGTCATACACTCTATATGCCTATATGCCATTTGGCATATAGACGTGGAATGTGAGTGAGATATGCCTTATCTGGATCTTTAGTTCTCAATATCAGAAGTGGTATAAATGGGTTTCAAGTGTCAGATACACCACTCGTCAGCAAGGTGCATATGACATTTATTTGTGTTTCACACTCAGGTATATGACATACACATAGGGTGCTTCTATTACATAACTTGTCTTTACCTTCTAAATGAAGCAACTTCAAAACTTACCCTCAGCAGCTCTGTACCAGTTGTTACATCAGCAGATAGCGCTAAATTGGTCTGTTTATCTTCCATTGTTGTGAACAAAAACTTGGCCACAGAATGTGAACACAACTTGGCCCTATCTCCATATGTAAGTACCTAAAACAAATAAAGGTTTGGGAGGGTTTTCATAGTTAAAGAATCACACATTAATCTCTGCAGTAAAGAACATAAACCAAAAATTAAAAAAGTAAATAAAACATGTCAGAAACTAATATATAGAGTTAATGTACTGAACTTTTAATGTGACATAACATCATTCCAACAATTGAACATACACTGCATGCCCTATCTGCAAGCAGTAATTTTAGTTGGAAGTAATACAACCCCTTGAATATTATCTTACAACAGTGGAAATCATACATGTACTGGTAATTACAATATGTACTGCATATTGCGTTATGTTACCTGATTAGGATTCCATTATCAACATGCTGTTTATTCTTTTAGTTCTTATATTATAAAAAAAAGTATTATCAGAGGCATGCAGTGTTTCACATTGTTACTTGTAGTGCCATTCAGGTAAGAGGATCAGAAGTCAAAAGGTGAGTAGATCAGTCAACTTGTTATCTGCACATCCATTTACAAATTTAATGCATTACATCAGAGATCCCAACACCAAGCATGCAAAAGAATGGTACCCTCTTAACTCGTTTGATGCTTCTGTCTCCTCCTTCGTCCTCTGGACTCCTTTTCACATTTCCATTGGGATTAAATCTATTGTCATGGATGAACTGCTTGGTCCTGTTTATTACATCTTGTTCCAGCTTTCCCATATTGCCAAGAACTTCCAAAATTTGTGTTATAGTACAGACACTAGAAAAAGAAGTTTTAATTATCAAAATTAGTTAAAAGATAAATATGTTTAAAAGGACATGTTTTATGGAACATTAATCTGTTTACCTAATTCTATTGTCTTGCAAAGGCGCTGTTCAGAATTAGGGGCTACTCAAAATGAGATAGTGCGTGCTTTTTTTTTTTTTTTTTTTTAGAAAAAAGTATTTGAATATCCACTTTTACAAAAGTATATTCACATACGGACTACATTTTGATTCACCATTTCATTTTGAACAACCATAAATAATATAAAGATTAATGCAATATGTTGTGATTAAAATCAAAACTAAAATACATAAGCACACTATACTTGACTCTGTATGAATTGGTAATAGCACTTCATATTTTAGGCTAGTCAATACTCCATGTTACATCAGAATAGCAATTCCATAACTAAAACTGTGTATCACTTAAAACTGAAAAAGTACATTCTGGCCAAAATATAATAAAATATATCAATTACCTATGCAGTTTAATTCCTTTGGTCTTAAGCATATCTTTGCCACCTTGTTCCCTGTCCACCAACACAACAGCATCTGTCACATTAATTTCTTCTTGTTGCAGAGACTGCAAAAAGAAATGCAGTTCTATTTTCATTTATTTATCTTTTTATTGCACCTCATCTCATTTCAGCTCATTTCATTTGTAAATTTCAGAGAAAGTTGTAAAAATATAGAAGATAAATAGAAATAAGCACCAAGATGGGATTTTCCCTCTGAAATTGGAAGGAGCAAAAAGAGCTATACAGATGAGTGCACTGCAATAAAATAATTTTTAGAATCATACACTGCAACATAACTTCTATGTGTCCATCAACTTACCAAAGTTGAAACTTTTCTTAAACATTCTGAAGACAATGTAAAGTAACATGATTCAGAGATGAACTTTAGTTTACAAGGGTCAGTCAAGCATTTTTCATACTCTTGAAATATGTGTAACCCATACCAAAACTGTCTCCAAAACACTTGATCCACTGGTTACAACATCTTCTACAACTAAGCACACATCTCCAGGCTTGTAGTGACCTTCTATGATCTTCTTGGTTCCATAGTCCTTGGCTTCCTTTCTACGTATTAACATGGGGAACTTATGAGCAGTAGAGATACACTGAAAAAACATTTCAATATATCGGTCTATGGATTTTGAATCGAAAAAAAAAATTTTTACGAGTCTGCAAATATTAATATACTAAAATATATTCACTAGTCTATAAGATAATTGCATGTGACGTACATCCAATGACAACTCATTAAATTATCACAAAAAGAAAGATTCCTTGTGTATATACCCTCTCATATTTGCTCTAATAAAATTTCATGGTATTTAAAAAGGGTGACACACATGCTACCCACTTATATAAATATAACTGTCAGTTTTTTTTCTTTTTAATTATCTTAAAACTCAACCAGAAATAAAAATACAACAACTTATGCTTTTATTTATCTCTTATGTTACAATAACACACAGGCAAATAGTTATTAATTCACTGGATATTGAAAATGGCCATTTGAAATTATGCAAGTGTGCATAAACAAATTATGCAAAATGAAAGGTTAAACAGAACTTTAGTATTATAAATGATACAAACTGTGGCTAAGGGTAAGGCAGTATACGGCACACCACACACAGACTGGTAAGTAGAACCTGTTTTTGATGCTTGATATAAATGTTCTGAGACGTCTATCTGTAAAATTTTTTATAAACTTCTGAGAAATGGATAAACAAAATGATTAGTAAAATTAAGCATATTTAAGTATTGACCCATTAGAGCCTGCGTCATCAAAACAAACGGCAGCCATACTGGAGGGAGACCGGAATCGTCTGCTGCGCATGAACAAGCCATGTCTGTAGTTCAGTTTTCGTTTTCTGTATTTTCTTTCATATTTAACCGAGCAAAATGATGAATTACTGCAGGGTATTTGGTCGAGAGAAGGTAACTAACTTTACAAGCGTTCACAGACTGCCTGCAGTGGTAAAAATCCATGGTGAAGGAACTAAAACCATAAACGGAGGAGAGACGGCGGTACTTTTGTAGTATACCCCCCCANCTTGTTTCAATAACTAGTCATAAAGCTATACAATTACTACTTTCAGATGTCACAAGTGGCTAAACATATTGTGATTTGCAACATGAATTAGTGAGGCCAATTTGGTAACTACATCACGTACCTGGCAACTCTAGCGGATGTTAAAGTTGAATGAAAAAATGCTGCACATTAAAACCATTAAGCTAATAGAAGGCCAGAGCTGACAAGGTCTTCCCTTCATGTAACTGTTAGAAAATATGACACAAATAAGCTTATCAGGGCCCCGTAGCTCAAAAGCGTCGCGTATTGTGAATAGCAATATCACATAGAGGCTACAATGTATTATATGGGGCGAGTTATGGAATCGAGACACTTGCGCTCGGTCACAACGCGTGATGCTTTTGAGTTGTGGGACCCAGATATTCAGAACATCTTAACACTACATCATAAAGTATTTTATGGCCTGAACTTTACCACCCATACAAATATATTTCAGAAAAAGCTTGGATTTTAAATGGGTTAAAATTATATTTTAACCTGCTACTATAGTAGCATTATCTAAGATGGAGACAGAAACCCACTAGTAATCAATATTTATACTGCTATAACAGTGTCCCTTTCCAATTTTTTATGTTTTTTGCATCCTCTCTAGATATGCATTGTACCCAGCTTCTTGGAATGCCTTAGCAGCTACAACTGAATCTTCAGCTTCCGTGATGCCACGGCCCACTATGATGATGTCACACTCCTTGTCGCAAATCACTTCTCTGGGGGTCAAATATTGCTGGCCCAGGGAGTCCTTACCACGAGTTAATTTTACTCCTGAAAAGAACAAAATCTAGCTAGTACTAAATAATTAATTTTCAACGTGTAAATTTATAAAAACTGCTAGATATCCACTGTAGAGTATGAATGCAGTTCAATAAGGTACTTTTTCATGGTACTTTAAGCATATACATATTTTAGAACAGTGTGCTTATCTTTTGAACACACACCTATGACCACATAAAATTACCAAATCATTTCACCTTAACATATGAAATTATGTTTCTTTTAGTCAAAACATTTAATCTCTGGTACAATATTCACTTTATTTTGTTAATCTGGAGAACAAATGTGTTACCTGGAGTTATATGAACCCAGTTGGGATCATTTGACAGCTTGGACTGTGTGATAAATCCAATAACAAAATCATCATGTTCCTCTGCCATCTTCAAAGTGGCTGAAATAAAATTACACATTAGTTACTTGATAAATGTTAAGTTGCAGATCAAAAATATAATATGCATATCCTTGTAGAGTACAGGAGAAAAATCAAATCTTTTTAGTATTTCAATCACAAAAAATTAAATGTTCAGTTTACAATAAATGTTAATCCATTTAGACCACAGACATTGTTTTGCATGGCAGAAAGAACACTTAAACAAACAAAACCTGACATAACCCAATAATTAACATGCCAAGGTTTAAAGTATATACTATCTATGCACCACATTAAAACAGCATAAAAGTTGCAAAAAAGATCTTTTAGCAACTGAGATCACCAACTGGAATGCTGTAACAGTGCCTTTCAAAAATTTCAAGCCCACCTTTAGCATAGTCCCCTGTGGCAAGATTTCCCTTGGAGCTCATCTCAGCAATTAATAAACAAGCCCTGTCCTTAACAAGACCCACCTTATATAAAAATAATAATAATAATTATAATAAAAATGATTGAATGTTTGCTTATAATGATATTACAAAAGTTTTACGCAATATTGCATTGCAAATCAAAGACAATTTGAGCTGACTTTAAATTCTGTTTTATAACTGTTCATATTAACTGCAAGACACCAACACCCTGTAATTAAAAAGAAATTGGTCTGTTTTAAGCTGGACACAAAAATATAAAAGACCAATACACATAGACAAGCAGTTACCTCCTTTAAACCCTGTACAATCCCAGGCCCTGGCAGAGCATGTGCATTGATGATGTGAGACCAGTCTGATATTCTGTACACCCCAGAGCTGTACTGGTGCTTCACTGTGTTACCAATGTCTGCAAATTTCCTATGTAATGTAAAAAAAAAAAAATGAAGAATAAGTTGTGAAAGAAAAATCATTATTTTAATATCTTTTGTCTTAGATTTAACCAAAAAATGATTAAATTTTCATTTACAAATAAAAACTATGAAAATGATGGATGTGAAAGAGATATATTATGCATATGCAGTATCTAGTTATGCATTATATGAAAAGAAATATTGGATTTTTGCTTAATTCTGAATAAAAATTAACCTGTCCTCAAATATTAGAAACCCATGTTTCTCAGCCAAGTGTGATAAATCATGGACTAAGTCTGGTTTGAAGTCAGATATAATATCAATGTGGGTCTTCAGTATACAGATATGGGGCCCCACTGCATCTGCCAGCTGTAAAATCAAAGAAGTGTCTTTACTAATAAGTGAATGAATAGATACATGAGTTAAAAACTAGAAGAACACTCAGAGAACAAAGACCTCCACCAAGACAAATAAAATAACTGATAATTAACCAATAATTTATTAATGGATCATTACCCAAATCTAACTACTTTCAACACAGACCATTTCTCACCTATCTTGGAAATTTCATTAAAATCCATCCATAACTTTTTGAGTTACGCTGGTGATGAACGGGCAGACAAACAGAGGTGAAAACATAACCTTCTTGACGGAAGTAATTCTGATTATATAAACAGTCAAGCTTTTTTATTACCTGGTTTTTGACATACCTTTTAAATGCTCATATTAGGCATTTAAATTTGATTTAAATCATTCAAATCTTCTGGAGTTGGAAACAGCTTATACCTAATACATGTCATGGATTACTGTCCTTTTTTGTATTTTTTTATCAAGCTGTCATACACTCCACTTGCCTATATGCCATTTGGCATGTAGGCATATGGAGTGTGAGAGAGATATGCCACATCTGGATCTTTAGATCTCGATATCAGAAGTTGTATAAATGGGTTTCTAATGTCAGATACACCACTCGTCAGCAAGGTGCATATGACATTTATTTGTGTTTCACACTCAGGTATATGACATACACATAGGGTGCTTCTATTACATAACTTGTCTTTACCTTCTAAATGAAGCAACTTCCAAAACTTACCCTCAGCAGCTCTGCACCAGTTGTTACATCAGCAGATAGTGCTAAATTGGTCTGTTTATCTTCCATTGTTGTGAACAAAAACTTGGCCACAGAATGTGAACACAACTTGGCCCTATCTCCATATGTAAGTACCTAAAACAAATAAAGGTATTTCATTGGGGGGGGGG